AAAACCATTCTGTTTATCATGAAAGACAAATTGTACAAGCTCCTAATAAGCCAAAACAACTAAGGGGCAGTCGGGTGGAGGGGCTGCTGGTCTGTAGTTGTGTTTGAATGTACATATGTTTGTAGATACAGACGGTGTGTCTGTGTGTGTGTGTACGTGTGTGTGTGTGTGTGTGTGTGTGTGTGTGTGTGTGTGTGATAGACAGAGAGACAAATAAACAACACCCATTATGTAACAATGTAGCAGCAGGGCCTTAGAGCTCAGCAACAGGGAGCGAGTGATAATTCACAGCTCTGCAGCTGTCCCATGTGGGCCAGGGGGTCTCTGTTAGGTCAGCACCCACTGATAACCTCACACTGTGCCAATACATCTTTAGCATCAATATTAATTAAGGTCTTCTGGTGATTGTGCTAATTAAACAGCAAGAGGCTTGTCATCTTATCTTTTTCTGTATCCTCCTTTCGTCTTTCCCCCAGCTGGTGCCTGAAGGTTCAGTGCATCCCAGTGACCACGTCTGTCCTACCACACACACCTTTTCTCTGCCTTGTCATGTAATTGCAGCTCAAAGGCCAAACCAGACCAATAAGCGAATTAATTAAGGATAGGTCACACAGCTATTCTCAATCAGTAATTTGGATCCTGATCTACAGCAAATGAATGTTTCTTAGAGACAACAATGTATATAGAAAATAACAAGGGTAAATGTTGTTTTTGTCTCTCAAACACAATTATTGAAGCAAATTTAGGTACACTGGGACTTTAAAGGGTGAATGTGGTTGGGTCAGTAAACTGCTCCTTGATGTAATGCCAATGGAAACAATTAAATAAATGGCAGCAGAAGTGCACATAAGTAATCGTACACAGCCAAAGCTGAAAAGCTTGCACTGTTCTTGTTGAAGCCTGAAGACTTTAAAGATATCTCTTTAAATTTGAAAACTGCTGGTTGTCAAAACTGAAAGCTATCAAACATTAATATGTTCTGGCTTTATCATCAAGATAACTCCCTCAGCTCTGAAAACTGATGGGCCCCAGTGCTATCTCGTAAATGACAAACGTAATTCTCAGGCCTCTGTTGTTTTGCAGCAGTGAATAAAATCCCCCTGCTAGCAGAATTCATGCTGGATTGATCATATTTTCCAGTAAGGTTTTAACAGTTTTACAAAACAGCATGGGCAATAAATAACAACAACAAAAAAAGATGTCATTAAGTTGGACTCACACTGCTTGAAAAGAAAAGTAAGGCTGCATTAAAGGAAATAGGCATCCTGTGAGTAATGGTCGAGTCTAATTCAATGGCTTGAATAGGATGATAAACACACTCAGATGGGATGTAAAATTAGCAGCATAAAACCAAA